ACTTCAGTTGTACAGCTCCGTCCTCAAGGAATGACAGACCGATCTTGTGAAAGACTGACTTGCCTAGGGTGAGATCTCCAGGGAATGAATCATCGTCGATTACTCCCACAGACACCTCGTATGGAAGTGACCATCCTTTAGGCAACTTCCACGCGAAGCGTACCACGACGTCTTCATCAATTGTTGGTCCAGAACCTCCAATTCCGCTCAGAGTTGATGGCTTGCGAGAACTGTAGGGTTGGAGCCTGGCTGCTAGTTTCCGTGAGATGTAGCTAGCAGGGCTTCCGTAGTCTAGAAAGGTACTGAATGTGTCCAGGGAAGAACACAAACGTGTGCGAAAGACCTCATGTGGCTGATTTGCTCCCTCTCGAAGAGGTCGATCAAGTGGAGCTTTTGGTATCTGCTCGTCCACTGCCACGTAGTGGACGAACTCCGACCTTCATTCTTCCGCTGCATCAGCCTCCATCGCTGTAAAGAGCTGCGTCAACGTGTCCTCAACCATGTCTTCGTCCCACTGATCCTCCGGTAAATCTTCTTCGTCGTCTGGCGCACCGGTCACGAATGCCGAGCCACCGCGTCCTTTACTGGTGCTCTTGGGCCGGCCGCGAGTTACTACTTTCCTGAACTGATCCCGAAAGCGTTTCCCAAAGGCCTGGTTGTTGCCTTTGTTCTCATGGAACAGCGTTCCTTTGATTGTGACTGGCTCGGAATGACTACCGCCACCGGATCCTTGATTTGACGACTTCTTGCGTGCCCTGCAGTCTTTGGACATGTGTCCCATCTTCCCACAGTTATAGCATTTTACATCGCCACCGCGAGCTGCATATGCACTCTCTTCCTCTCCCTCACGCGTGGTATGCACCGCACGATTGTCCTTTCTGGGGTCGATGATAGTCAGACCGGTATGTGTGGTCTGGGCATCTGGTTGCACAATCTCCGCCTTTCCGGGCGTCGTAGTTGTGGATTCACTAACCTGCAGTTGGTAGTAGGGTGAGGCTTGTCCTTATAGAGTGACATTGACGCTCGGCCTGGTGTAGATGTGATCCTCCACCTCGAATCGAGAGATGTTGCCTGCGAGCACTATCACCTCCTCGATGAGTTCCGGGTTAATTAGGATTGAGATACGTGTGAGTAATTGTGCCCATGCTCAAGGCATGTACATTTTCATGATTTCGTGCAGCATATCACGAACATAGTGGGATTCCTGTGACTGCACTGGCAGAGCATAGAATGCTGCCCGAATCCGCCAGGCGAAGTTAAGATAACTTTCCTCCTTGTACGGGGCCATCCTAGCAAACGTTACCACTGGACGTCTGAAAGTACCGTGCCGTTCCATGCACTCAAAGATTGCCTCGTGAGCTTGCGTCCAAGTTGCGTTATTAGTTTCGATGTATCGTGACACAGCCTGGAAATCTCCATCTAGCAATGGAGACGGCTTGGATGCCCAGAGCTGGTAAGGGACTGCTGCTTGCACCAGGGAACGCTGTATCTCCTTCAGCTTCAGGAAGATTTTTGTATCGATTGCAAGGTGCATCTCCCAAGATCGGTCTAACACCACTCTAATCCTGTACGCATCCTCAGGGATTCTGTCGTATAATATACCTAGGGCAATGATTTGCTTTCGAAGTTTTACTTCGGGCCAGATCTCTTGTACGTATTTCTCGCCGAGGTTATGTGGACGAGGAGCTTCTTCTTGGGGGACGTAGTGTATATTAAATTTTCCGTCCGGGAGTCTTGCCTTCGCCTTGATCTCTTGCTGTCTCAAGGCTTCTTGGGCCTGCAGAGAAGGAGGTTCGTAGTCGTACTCAGGTTCAGTATTTTTCCTGGGAGTACGGTTGTTAGAAAGATGATCCAGAGCCTGCTTGATCGATGCAAGGCTGCTACCGAGAGATTCGAGATTGCTGTCGATATTATCGAGTCTATTGTCAATGTCTTTGAACCTCTTTTCTACAGTGCCCGACATGATAATTTTAGACGACGGTGATGCCGACGAGCCAGTTTCGCCTTCCTTAGCCATTAGATCGGATGAAAGAGATCTATTGGATGATGAATGGTTTGTAGAAGGATGGGGACGGGATGGATATTCTCGGTCGGGAATGAGGGTAGAATTCAAGAAAAACGAGTTTGAATGTAAAGGGGTTTCCTAACAAAAATAATTATTTTTGTGGCTCCTAGTCTGATGTCTTCTAGCACAAAAGGGACGTGATAACATCCGCGACTGTACTGGTGAAGGTATTCAGGCTACTAGAGTGTATTCTCTATCTAAGGTCTTACAATACAAAAGATATGTGGTGTGTGTGTCCGAGCGTGGCACGTGAGCGGTGTGTAACCTCATGGAACCTCAGCCTAGCATCCAAAAGTCGTTAGGGACGTGGGGTTATCGAGTAACTCATGTATTTCAGATGCTCTCTTGGTTATTATATTCGGAAATGACGGTTGGAAGGGTCGATATTTTTGACTAGTCGAAATCTACTTTTCTTGAGGGCGGAAGGGTCTTTTACTTTGCTTTCGTGGGCTTTTTGTTCGCCCGCCGGTGGGTAGCACATGTTGTAATATAACGAGGGCTTCTCTGACTACCGAAGTAGCTGTCGGTAAGAGGATCACATTTGGGTAGTGTGAATTGTTCTATGTATTTGCGATATTCAGGTTGTCGTTAGGACACTGGCAGGGGTCTGATCTAGCTCATTAGCGAGGCGCTTGGAGTAGAAGAAGGAAGGGGAGATTGAGAAAGAAGAGACAACGTTTTATGTATATCGAGATACCAGTTAATTGACATTATTCACCGACTTCGTGAAGGCACCCAATTTGTATTACTTCGTGTTTTACCAACAGTAGCGTTTGGTACTGTATTATCTCTCCTCATTCCAAGCATTATTATCGTCGACTTTGTCGTCTTACTTGTTATCGGAAGTGTATCTTTGATGGAGGAAGATAACTCTGCTCAAAATTGAAAAGATGTTACTCGATTTCGGCTCTCCAGACTCTACAATGGGAGCTGAAAATTCGTAGGGGACACTACCGACAGGTATTGAGTTTCGTCCCCCGATTATCACTATTATCAAGAGTTAAAGCTCGATTCTACTTAAAGCAGAGTGCTTAGAGAAATTATGGAATTGATGTTTGATTATGTAACAATATGAATCTGCTATAATATTTTGTATCCCAGGTAACCTGTGTACAAGTGTCACTTCTATCAACCACCACGACATTTATGTAGAAAGATGTCATTAGTTCATATCAACGGGCTTTGTTAAGTGTTACCCTGTTTCTCTTCTATACATGTTTGTTAATCATTTTATATCTGTTCATACCCTAGATATAACATGGATATGAGTTTGGAGGCTAGCTTGAGCCAGAGGATTACTCGAAGAGTAGGGTATTCCTTGAATAATGCATGTAATTGGTCTCACTCATAGAATTAACAAGATTTTGGTCGGACATGATTTTGTTTGCCATGAAAATTAGATCTGGTCGGGAGCCTTAAAGGATAGTTCTATGGGTGAAGGTTATTTGTATTAAGAAACTTGACAAAAATTAGCTGGGGAGAACATTTCGCTCTCAGGTTTGTATATGATTACGCGAACAGATGTTCAGTCTTCTTTTTTTTTTTTTCAGATTTTAATTGCATATGCAACTATCTAGCTATGACACAATATCAAAGAAAAGTACAGAAAAGATGACTCAATTTACAAGAGGAGCACTCATGCCTCAGATTTCATTTGCAAGTACCACTGCGAAGTTATGGTAGCTTTTTCTTCACCCCAAGTCAACCCTCATCCGTGAATACTCACTCAGGGGAACGTCTCAGAGACCCCGAGTTATCCAGACATACCCCCATCATGTATTAACTTCTCTCCGTAAGATATATGGTATAGATGTCCTCTTTCCAAGTGGAGTAGGTGCCCAGGCTACTCAATCTATACCAGAGAACACCACCAGTAGGCGGACCACGGCGCCTTCCATGGTTGGCTTTTCTTTATGGTGTCAGCTGCAATCTCGCAATCGAAGGCTTAGGGCGCACAATGCTCTTTAATTTGTAAAACTCCTGGCTAAATATTCCAGGACTCACATTCGTCAAGATTGTATCCTTGCTTCGCATCATCTTGTGAGCTTGTCCTGATAACTCTCACGCCCATCCCATAGAATTGTCTCCAAGATTTGCGCGCAAAGGTATGTTTCCTCTGCCATATATAAATATAAGTGTGAGCGTATACTTATTAGTCAGATGAGGCCAGAAAATAGTCGATAAATGATATAGTCATTATAATCAAGGTATACTAAGTCGTACTTCTAGACTTAATGATTTTTTGGTGGGAACTGATATCTTTGGGAATGAAAGATTGACATTGTGGAGTATCTTGAACAATCCTATCGTGGGCCTACTTCTCTGGTGTTGTGAAATTCCACTGAACGTAGCTCGGGGAGGATAATTCACTCCAAGATTCGCAGAGGACGTCGCATTCAGGGTTTAGTCTTTACCCTCCCAAGTGTACTTTTGTGATTGTAATCAGCCATCACAACTTGTTGCCACTAAGACCTGCATTAAGACTGAAGAACATGTAAGATACCAATATTAGTTCTTTGTAATCTTATTAGAGGCAAACTTCAGAGATGCGAAGTAACATTGTGAAAAAAATAGATAACATAGTACATGATACAAATCTGGATGAATATATTTATTATTTTCACAAGACATTTTGAGGAATAAAATCTTCACTGAGTTTCAGGCGAGAACGCAATGAGCACTTATGATTTTTAGACGCAAACAGCCCTTGAGGGGAAATAGTGAACCTCGAAGAGTGGGTAGAAAGCTGTCGTTACAGATTTTCGACATATCATCAATAACTTACATTTTTATGTTAGTGATTTGCAGGCTTTGGAAGATAAAGGCTAACCCCAATATTCAAGCTTATAATTTAGAAATCTAGTGAGCACGAAAGAGCTCTGCAAACTCCGAACAGCATTCCTCAGCTAAGTGCGGCCCAAGAAAAGTTACAGCCATGAAAGACTGCTGTCGAATTTCGGAAAACACACACAAAAACTGGGCAATTATATCTGGCGCCAGCCGTCACAGTGTAACATCTGAAATTTTAAGCTCTAAATGTAAGAAGGTATCAGAAGGAGCAATCAGAATGCTGCAAATTAGTCGTGAGAATATCAAAGTGGCACGAGAAACAAGCCCACAATTTAGTACAACAACACCCCAGATTAAGAAAACTCTATTAAATGATAAAAAAAAAAGGAAAAGAAAAAGAGCTAGGAACAAAAATAAAATTCAGAACATAAGAAAAGAATTTAAAGAGAATGAGCAACTTGTTGACGGTAGACAGCAAATGATTGCCACACCTTCACAAAAGCCAGCAAACCCAATTGATAGAAAAAAAAAGCTTTTAACAAAATCCGTTCCCAACGGCATGCTAAATCCTCTCGGAACCACTGCTCAAAACTCGAACGTAAAAATTGGCAAGGCTCCCAGAAAGCTAGCCGTGTCAAAAGTTAGAAAAGCAAAATCAACAACCATAAAGCTTGGAGAGAGGAAGAAAGATTCCAAATTTTCTAGTACTATCGGCCCTAAAATTGATATCATTTTTAAATCAGATGCGAACCAGAAATCTGCTTCAAGTGATAAACAGATCGAGAAAATTCAAGAATCGTGTAATACTTTAACGCGTTTTAAGCAAAAGCGTCTCAGAAAGCGCTTGAAAAAGACTTTATTTCAAAGTAATCTGAAGAGTGACTAATAAAAACACTTATCTTGGATTATAGAAGATGCTCAGGCTTCCGTCAATCTAGATATTGCTGTGAAGGAAAACTAGCATTCGAGACACCAAATTCAAGCTTCTTGTAATAACAAGAGCTCCACAGGCTATAAATTTTCCTTGATATTGGGTTTAGCTGATAAAAATGAAGCTAGCTGAAATCGAAGATTAATTCTGAATAGGCTACGAGAAAGTGATTTCAATGCTACAGGCTTGACATGTGAAGGAATAAAAAATATTTCAGTGATAATATTAGTCTTTTCTCAAATTCCTCTCAACAGCCGGCTCCTATACTAGACCCTAGAGACTTAATCTAACTTAGTTTATAGCCTGCCAAGAGTCTTAAAAGTTCCTAAAATCAACACAAAAATATTGCTGGATCAATTAACGTTAGTATACCACAAAGCAACCCCAGAAAAAAATTAGTTGACGAAATTCAGGAAATTAAGATTTCCTATTACTCAATTTAGAGATTAAGAATTAGAATTCTCTATGTCGGCCACAAGAATTTGTCTTTCTAAGCAAATGTAGCTATGCTGTATTGGTGGAGATTCCTCTGGCTAGTTGGGCCTCAGGCTCCATCTTTGCCGTACTGTCGTAAAAATTACAAAATCAAGAGATCAACATCGTGAAAAAAGGATAAAAGATTACTAGAGATTAAGAATTGAGCAAAGGTTTTTGTTTACTGCCCTACCCATGTCTACGAGGATTGATCCCAAAATTTTAGAATCAAAGTTTTTGACAAACAAAACTTGGCGTCCCACCACGTGAGATGGACTCGCTCTAAATTCGGGGGCGTTGCTTTGAACCATTAATTCGTATGTCCGCCGATCGAGATATGAGATATATCCGAGCTTTCTCCGCACACAATTTATCGACCTGGTAGTTACGACACGCTACCATTTACCACGTACCATCTTCTGTGGAATAGTCTACGAAATAAACTCTTTTAATCGAACAGTATCGAGTCTTGTGAATACCACCGCATTCACAGAAAATGGAAATATCTGCATATGGCTCCTGCGTATGTCCCCACTGGTAGTAGGGTAAGCATTACACTGGCTAGGTCCGTGGTGAATTCACTCACATTGTGAAGAGCATGGAATTAACGACAAGGTTATGTCGAATTACTTTCGTTTGCATTACCTCCGACGGAATATTGTACATAATTGGTCCTGTAATGCAGACATTTTTCTTCGAGCTTTAATGTTCCCTTCCATCGGGTAGCTACCTTTTGCATATAACCAAAAGCTCAGAAATCCTAGCCCCTAATCATCGCTGTAATTTTCTTTATAATGGTATGATCAGGTTTTCTACCTCCCTCTGTTATAGTCAATAGGACCCCAAAAGCCTCCATAAGAAAATCTCGCCTCGTTACTTAATTTTCCACTTTACCATGTTGAGTGCTACACATCCCTGGAATTCCGACTGCACGAATACCTCAGTTTTGTCATTTCGAATCCGGAAAATCGCATGTGTAGTCATTATAGACCTCTTCTCTCTTAACTGCAAGTCCTCTGGCTGCAGGTGTTGAACTCCATTAATTCTAATTTGTGCAGCTCTGTTCGCTCAAATATGCCACGACCAATGCTTATATTCTCAAGACTAGTTGTTGAGATTTCAGTCTAAGAAGAGCAGAAATTATATCTCGAAATATTTAGCTTCCATAAAATGTTGAAGTTGCATGTAAAACGAGAATTTATGTATGTACACTCTTGATATAAAGTGGGAATTCCAAAAATGATTATTACAAAGAAAAGTTTTGAGCCCAGCTGACCATACGATCATTGTGCGAAGAAATTGAAAGCAGTAGCCCCGGAACACCGAGACCATCTCGTTGGCTACAATGTAGATACGTCCTTATCTTGCATACAACTTTTGCCCGATACCCTAATACTCCGCACATTCAGGAGGACGAAGGCTGAACACCTGTCAGTGGTGTCCTCTACAAACCTGGGAGTGAAATATTCTCCCAGAGCCGAGATTCAGTCACGAAAAAGGGTGGGATGAATTTTAATTGATGGATTTTCGACTTGAAGGAGTTGCACTCGATATTTTGGTCGGAAAATCAGTCGGCAGAGATTTCACAGCCGGAACAACGTCGAACAAAAAGTCATCACCACCAACATACAATTCACGAATGGGCCTAGGTCTATCTGGGGGTCGTATTCAAACATCCGACATTTCTTAAACTCCTTTTATACTTGCGACGAAGCATTTCTCAATCGATCCTACACCTGCGACCTACCTCCATACCCGTCCGATCACCTACCTACACACGCCCTAATGAGGAAAGTCATGATGGAAACGGGACGTGTACAAAGGGGGAAGAAGAGGGAAGATGCACCGAGGGGATTACACAAATCCCCAATGACGAAAACAACCCAACGGTACGATATGAAGGTGCAAGGCTAGAGCAACGATGAGATCTTGGACGGCATTTATATTTCGGAGTCAATGAGGATGTCAAGGACTCGGGCGCGTGGTGGCCGAGGCTGAGGAAGAAATTGCGCTACGGCGTGTAAACAGCGGGTTTCTGGACGGTTAGGCTTGGTATGATTCAACACATAGGTGAAGTCTGAGGTGGTCCGGTCATTCAAGTGGGACGAAGTTTATCTATACTTTACAGTAGTTAACCTGATCCGGCCCGACCCTACACGTGCTTAAGCTCCAATAGGAGTGCAACGGTAGCCATGTAACCTAGCACGTTAATGAACAAAACAAAACAAAACTCCGCACATTCAAATGTATGAGAAGATTTCTCAAAAGCGAAAATAAATCAGATTGCAGTATGCAGTATGCAATATGCGGGTAACTTATTCACAATCGTAAGAAATGCTGATGATTGCAGGTAGTATGGCGAGTTCCAACACTAGTACCTCTGATACTATTGCCAGAGCCGATTTTTTAGTGCTACACGCGAGACTCATGACAGCCTTCTCTAATGACATACCTTCTCTTTAATTGGAGACTTTTCCACTGAAGTTACTAACCGGAACTTCATGTGATTATGGTAAGTCTTCACCGCTTCGCTGACCTCCGTATAGTTGGTGAGTCCTTTTTCTCTGCTCCATCCAAAACTATCAGTCTAGCTTTTTCATGCACGTTTCACAGAATCACTAGGCTCTTTTTTATTAGAGCTTTCTGTAATCCATTGAATTTTTTGTCTTGTGTCATTGTCACTGTCGCTGTTTTCCCACACTAGCTCTCATATCTATCGCATTTTTACGTTGCGGTTTTGAATGTGGCGGCGTATAATTTGAAGATTAAATCAAGATTAAGTATGCTAATCTAATATTGAAGACATCATTATTCACTAAAAGCGGCATCACTTTCCATGAACGTTATTTCATCGTTTTGATTATTGTTATCATCTTAATAGTCCATTATTACCTGACACCTCAAAATTTTCACGTTGCGCTTCGGCATTGTGAGTTGGGAAGCCGGTAGGGTGCATTTCGCGGCTGCAAATTTTTTCACGGTACCACCACAACCAACAATGGGCAGCGTAACAGCCGCAAACACGGCTGTAGATCTTCTCGCGACATCTACAGGCGTCAAAATGGATTTTTTTTAAAGAGAGTAGGGACAAACTCAAGAAACACTTGTTGAAAATATCGCGCAATGTAATGGGCGCAATATTCATGGAACGAAAGTAGAAGTTGACTAAAAGAGTGTCATGTTCGGATTACAGCTAAAAGTGTGGGAGATGTGCGCTACAAGTACAAGTGTAAGCGACACAGAGCCTAAGCCGGACCACAGAACTCTTGCAGGAGACGTCCCCCGTCCGAACTCGAAAGCTAGAGCTGTTATCAAAACAGGCCAACCGTTTCGAGTGACAGACGACGCCCTCGAAGACTTTGCAAAGGTGCTAGGCCGTTGGGCTCAAGGAATAGAGCTACAGCCGATGGCTTCAGTAGACGCGGTGGACAATCTTGCTGATAAGCTGGTCCAAACCATTAGCGATGCAATTAGGGCTACCGGAAGACGCGGGAGTGCGAAGAAGGGTAGGACAGCACCTTGGTGGACGTCGGAGTGCCTACAGGCCAAACGCGAATACAGGATATTCAGGGACGAAGAGAGCAGAAAGGACTTCCGTCGCATAGTCAAAAGTTCCAAACGCCAATACTGGCGGCGAAAGTTCTCCGAAGCAACAACCGACGTCGACATGTATCGGATGGCACGCTGGGCTAAGCCGCAACCTACATCAGCTGCTCCACCACTCCAAACTCCAGATGGTCTTGTTTCGGATCCAGGAAAGCGAGCAACTCTGTTGCGCGACCTCCTTCTCAGCCGGTTCACCAGTCAGAACGACGTCGACGCTGAGGACTTCGAGCCAGGACGCGGAAACCTCCCATGGGTCTCGAGCGTTACGGACGAGGAAGCCAAGTGGGTTAAAACGGCCTGCCAAAACAAAGCCCCTGGAGCAGACGCGATTTCTGTTCGTCTTCTTAGGACAGCCTGGCCATCAATTGGTGACGCAGTGAGAGTACTCTTTGAGGGCTCACTGCGATTGAATCACTTTCCGAAGGCCTTCAAGCTAGCGGAAGTAATCCTTCTCCCCAAACCCGGCCGTAACCTCAGTACAGCTAAAGGATGGAGGCCTATCGCACTTCTCTCCTCCCTGGGTAAAGGTCTCGAGAGACTGATTGCAAGGCGAATGGCTTACACCGCCCTCACCTACAAGGCAGTCCCGCAGCAACTCTTTGGAGCACTCACTGGCAGGTCTGCCAACGACCTCGTCTCATGCGTCATCCACGATGTAGAACATGCAATGAAACGGCAGAAGAAAGCAGTCCTAGTCACTTTGGACGTTCAGGGTGCATTCGATGCTGTACTCCACGGACGGCTGCTGCAGAGGATGAACAAGATGGGGTGGCCTAAACCAGCTATCACCTGGATAAAGTCCTTCCTACAAGAACGATCTGCTCGCGTACGACACGAAGACGGAGTCACAGACCCGGTATTCCTAGAATGCGGGC